ACGGGCCCCGTGCTCCGTGTGGTCCCCTTCCTGGGCACGTTGTTTGCTACCAACGGTTCCTGGGCTCCCGAGATCTCGGCTAGGTGTGCTGCAGCTACTCGGGGTTGGGCTCACATGAGGCGCTCCTGGTCTACGTGCACTTCCTGGAAGGCTAAAAAAGGGCGATCACGAACAAGTGCCAGAGCGTTTCTTTCGGGCAAAACGTCCTTGGTCCGTCTTGAAGCCACTTGCTTGACGTACCGGATGGTTCTCGTGGGAGGAGTAACTGTCAGAAAACCGATTGTGCATCCTGACGGTACGGATATGACGGTGATTAGGATGTGGCCTGCTGTCAAACTGTGACGACGTCCTGGACTTGCGCCGCCCTGGTTGGAACTCAAGGTGCAACGTTGAAAGAGTTGCAAAGATTGCTCGATCGCCAGGGTGATATGCTAAACAACTCACGGCTGTGTTCGTAACCCTGGAAAAAAAAGAAAGAAGTGAGGACTACGTGTTCCTGGCACCTAGCTTGGAGACCAAACCAATGGACACTTCGAGGAACAATCCTTGGGCCAAGCAAGTCTTCCAGGACCTGGAGTATATGGAGTGCACAGGGGGGAGGAAGATATTGAAACACACGGAGGGTGATCTGATGACAATCTTTCACGGGAGCTCAAGGCCTTTGATGATTTCCGGAAGCTAGACGTGCAACAATTTCGTGCTCAGTGGCTCCTGCGACAAGGTCACCCCCAAAGAAATCCCGCAAGGAGCCTGGTGAACTAGCAGATAGAGAAGCATTGCTGCACCATATTGGCGTCAGATGGGCTTCAGTGCGATCGTAGGTTCGTTTCCCGCCAGGCACTGCAGAATCACCAAAGGCAAGCTACTGGCCGCGAATAATGGAGTGCCGTCTATTGCGTGCAAGCTGTCTCTGACTAATCAGTCTATTGCGTGTTTATCGACATTATAATTCCGAGACACTGCCATCAGACATCTTGAACATGCATATGCGTTCGGAAGGTGTCGGGTGGATTCGTATAAACTCAACCCTCCTTTGGTTGTGCCCAAAATAAGGATATGCCATGATTGCTCGTGGCCTTTTCAGACTTTCGAGGCTCTGCAGGATCACCTACGGTCTCAGCTGTCTATTCCACTGCGAGGGTTTGTCTGGCATGTTTGCAGCGGTCCCTCCTCCTGCGTCTGAAGGCGAGCAACCCCCCTGACGACGCGACGGGAGATGAATGAGGGATGGCGGGCAAAGAAAGCGGCGCAAGAGAAATCCAGCAATCGTACCGTAGGCCAAGGGGTAATCGAGGAGCTGTAGGAGATGGAGTTAGCACGGATAAAACTATTGTGCCCATCCTGATGAAGAGGATGATGAACGTAACGGTGCGCACGAGGCAGCAAGAGGCCATTATCGTGTTGACCCTGCTGATGCCCGACAACACATCCCCTATCCTCAAAGCCACGCCAAGGGTGAAAGCTTGGGTGGAGGCGGCACAGGACGTGAGAGGCCCAGGGACGACGAGATTCCGAAGATGGGTACGAGATCAGTGGCGTGTCTAGTGGGATTGACGGAGGGATGCGAGGAGGCGTGGCAGAGTGCGGGAGGCATGCATGCGGAATGACTGGCAGAGTGGGCAACGGAGATGGCGAAATTGACCTCAGCAGAGGTAGCATCGCCCTCCCCAAGAGTCAAGATCCAGACGGTCTAAAAAGAGGGACTGTGCAAGGTGTTGATGCCGATGCAAGGTGCGCTGAGAACCTTAGTCGCTTACTGCAAGCAGCTGGCGGCTACAGTGAAGGAGGGTGTGGCACCCAGAACCATCTAGAAAGAATGTTGCAGATCTTCCTGTCGGGAGACGGGATGGCGGATTGATTTACGTGTGCGAAAAGGTGTCTGGGAGCAGTTGGAAGACGAGTACCAGACGTACTAACATGTACTATCCCAATGAATTCCGCGTCCTCGGGATGCGCCACGTCTCAACCTGTTTTCGCGAGTCCTGCTTCGGGGCCCCCTCAGGCCCGTGCTGCCTCTGGCTGTCTGGAGGAGGCTCCTACCCCTCCTCAGCCCTCCTCGCCTCTTCTCCGTCCCTCCCGTGGTGTCGTCGTCTCCTCTCTCCGTCTGTACTCCGCCTACAAAGCGTGCCAGAATTTCTGCTGTACGGAGTATCAAGGATTTGGGTCTTGGTAAAAACCTGGCTGGATCTGCTGCACTATCGTTCGGAAAGCAAGGGGGAGATGTTCGCAATGGTTTGGTTTGGGTTTCCGTACCCTGGAAACTGAGGGCGGACGAGTGGTACGAAATTCGCGGATGTTAATTCGGTCCTAGGGCGTCTCATTCAGTCAAGATCTGAAGCTACGCCCCTGTAGGTGTCGGGTCAGATCCTCCTCCTCCTCATCCTCCTCCTCCTCTCCACCTCCTGCTCCTCCTTCTCCTCCTCCTCTCCCTCCTCCTCCTCTTCCTCTGCCTCGAGGGTTCAAGTTGTTGGCATCTACTCTCCGTGATACTCAGTTGAGCTTTCGGGGGGCACGCGCCTTCGAGGAGGTAGGAGCTCCCAGGTGTCCATGGGTGCACAGAGATCCAAGGCGTCGGCCTGCAAGGAGACGCCGCCTCAGATGAGCACCTGCCTCGAGCTCGCAGGGGTTTTGCCACCAGGTGGGAAGACACCAGCGGCATACAAATGAATGCTCGGAGGCCCCACGGATTTCTCGAATGTAGAACCATACTCCTTCAGGTCAGGTTCCTGAACAACTGATTAGAGTTCATAATGTGAAGGATGTCTGCAGCCAAATGCACCCCAGCTTGGGTGTCCAATACCCAATCGTCGATGGTACTCGCAGGGGTAGGGTGCGCAAAAGGTCGCAAACTGACGCTCCTCATCCGAAGGTCTCCCCAGGGGTCCCCGCACGTGCCCAGCGGGAGTTCCCTGTTGGTCTCCGGAGACCGCAAAGTGGCAAGCAGGCGGCCAATCATGGCCGAGAGCGCAGAGCAAACTCGAACATCGACTGCGACCTCAGAAAACAAAAAAACACGGAGAGGGGGAGGAGGCAGGGGCAAGAGGGCCGCGGGAGAGGCAAGAGGCAGGCGGGACTGGGAGCTTTTTTGTTCCAGCAGCTCCACTCCTCACGAATGGTGAGGCAGCAGGCGGGACTGGGAGAAAGGACAGAGGCAGGTGGAGGAGGGGGGGGAGAAGGGAAGGACGGACTACGAGCTGGAGCATCAGGCCAGGCTCATGCCCCTCGGGGCTGCGACGGCACCGCCGCGGACGCCCGCCACCCAGACCGGCCCGTGTGCCAGCGTACCGCGGTGGTCCGCCGGCCGGCGCCCTGTGCGGGGATGCGCCCTCTTGCGCGCACGGGCCTCTGTGAGGCCCCCCCGATCACCCTCGAGGGGCCGCTCCCGCCGCGGCCTGCCCGAGAACGCTGGGCCGAAGTCGGGCCTGTCCCTTCACAAGGGGGATCTTCAAACATAGTGAGACAGAGTCTGGGGACGAATCGGTTTGGCCATGTTCGAATCTTTTTAAAGTATTTGTGCTTTTCCGCCCAAGCTCCGTCTGCAGGGGGACATGCCCGACCTGACGCAGGGCATGGGCCGGTCCCGGGGCGGTCGGGGTGGGCCAGGCAGCCTCGGCATCCCCCGGCGGAGGAGGGAGCAGAATGGTCGCAGGCAAGAGAGCGTTTCTTATGTGTCGCGATAGCGGCCGTTACCGTACCAGCCCCACCCCCCAAAAAAATAACGTCACGGTTCGTGATGACCTCAAAGGCGGCTTCTTGATTATTCCTGGAAGTTCCCAGACAGGGCAGGCGCGAAAACTCACGACCCCCGCCCCCCTCCCCCCAGCGACGCTTGTTATCGCCTGGGAATGAAGCACGCTCTGCGGGAGAGGGGAGCTTGGGGGGTGTCGGTCGGACAGACGCTGGCTTGGACGCTCGAAACTGTCGCGCGATGGCTCTCCCGCGGGCGCCGGGGACGGAAAGAGAAGCGTCCGACGACCCCCCGCCGCCCAGCGAGAGGAGGCAGCGTGCTGCGGGGAAGCCTCAGCCCGTGCGGGGCCGCGGGGAGTGAGCGGGGGGGGGGGGCGCGGTCCAGCGAGGCGCCCCCCGTGGAACTGCGTCAGGCATGCGCGGCGTGTGTCCACCAGGGGGACGCCAGACTTTCTGGAGCCCAAGGGTCCGAGACTCCCGTGGATCGGGCCCAGGGGGCGGGGATGTACACACACAATCAAGACATGTGCATCTGGTATGACGTCTGCCAGTCGAGGACGGGAGTGGAGAGGGATGCGGTGCCGCGTGCGGGGCCGCGGGGGCGGGGGGGGAGGAGGCGGGAGCCAAGGGGCCACCGACTTGATGAACATACACCTTCGGAGGTCCGCGCTGACTCCTTGGACCCACGCCTGCAGCGCAGGGGGCAAGGTAGGGAGGGAGGGAGGGAAGGGGGCGAGGAAACGGATCCTGGACCCCAGGGCCTTATGGGGCCAAACCAACCTTTCGCCCCGGAGTCGCTCTCTGACCATCCCGGGGCGGCCAGGCATAGCCAAACACCTCGGGTCCCGCCCCCGCCCCTCCATGGCGAAAGGGGAACGTCGTCATGAGCGGAGGACGAGGAGAGTACCGGCTCTCTGGGGAGAGGCCCCGGGAGACACGGATGAGTGGACACACGCGGCGACGTGCTCTTGGTGGCAGAACCGCGCGCCTCTGGGCGAGACAGGGCGCCCGGGCCCCGGTCTGCGATGAGTGGGCGATTGGGGATCGACCGTTTCCGCCCCCGCCCCCTGTGCCAATCGCACCCTGTCGTTGCCCCTGAGTGGGGGGGGGCGAGACATACCCGCACCGGGCCTCTCCATGGCTGCGCTCGGGCCAGAAAGTTCGAAGATCATCCAGCCGTGGCGACGCGAGCTATTCAAAACGAGCAACAAAATCCAAACGAGAAACCCCGCGGCCCGCTCGCGGGCTGCAGCGCGCGGGCCCAGGGCCCAGCCGCCGCCGCCGCCGCCGCCGCCGCCGCCGACTTCTTCGTTGGTGTCGGCGTTGGCGTCGGCGTCGGCGTCGTCGGCGTCATCGTCGTCGTCGTCGTCGTCGCTCGGCACACGTCGTGTGTCGCTCGTCGATCGTCGCTCGTTGCTCAGCGCTGCCGCCGCCATCGTCGTCGTCATCGTTCGTCGTCGTCGTCGTCGTCGTCATCGTCATCGTCGTCGTCGTCGTCGCCGACGCCGACGCCGCTGGCGTCGTCGCAATCGGAGCAGCGGCTTCGGCCGAAGGCGCCCGCCCGCGCCTGCGCCGCGGCGGCGCGGCCGCCGCCTCGCCGCTGGGGACAGCGGGCGCCGCGGCCTGCGCGGCGCCAGCCTGCGGCAAAGCTCCGGCGACGTGCTTCGGGGTCCCGCGCGCCCGGGGGCCTGCACGTGCGAGCAGCTGGGGTTCCGCGTTTCGGGGCTCGGCGCCGCGCTTCGGAGCTCCGCGCCGCACTCGGGGTCCGACGCCGCGCTGCGGGGTTCGGACGCCACGGATCGGGCGTCACGCGCACAAACACGCGCACGCAACGCTCTGTTCACATCGGGTTCCGCGCATGCAGGATCCCCCCACGCGTTTGTGCTGTGACACACACGCACAATCACACACACACGCACACACACACACACGCACACGCACACGCACACGCACACGCACACGCACACGCACACGCACACACACACACACACACACACACACACACACACACACACACACACACACACACACACACACACACACACGCACGCACACACACACACACACATTGAGACAACCGCTGGCACACGTTGACTGACAAACGTGTGCAAACACTGGTACGCACATGCGTTTTTTATCGTCGCAGCCGTGCGCAACGAAACGGCGGAGCCGGGAATTCAAACAAAAAACGCATCGGGCCTTCACGCAACCACCAAACAAAGCGAAGCAAGTTTCACTCATACTGCAATAGAGGAGGGCGCGCCGCTGGATCACCTAAAGGGATGGGGGGTCCAGGACCCCCCACCTCCCTCCCTTTCCCCGATGCGTCGTCGGCAGGCCCCCCCTCCTCCCCGCCCCTTCGTCGGCGGACCCCCCCCCTCCCATGTCCCGATCAGTCGCCAGCGGACCCGCCCCCCCTCCCCTTAAGCGTGAAATTCGGACCCCTCTCCCCCCCCCTCCCCCTTTTCGCCATGCCGCCCCTGGCTCCGGAACCCGATCCCTACCACACCGAACGCTCAACCAAATCCCTGCCCTAACCTTAACTCCGAACCCACCCACCCACCCCTAACCCTAAACCCTACCCTACGCCGCCCTTTAATCTTTACTTCTTATGATTAAACACCCACAAACCCCCACTTAGCAGGCCGATAGCAATCCCGCCGTCCTGTCAACCAACAGCACAAACTCCTCTTTCTCCCGCCAACGTGTCGTCAAGTTGCGAAACGTGTAACGAGAATTGGACGGGAGGAACATCGCCTGGGTCACTCTCAGCGGGTGGTCGCGTCCTGCCTATCAAAAAACAATGCGCAGTCATTGATTGTTTCTCGTTACCGTGGGCTTCCTTGCCGACGACGCCGCGAAAAAGGTGTAGCAAGAATTGGATGCGGCGCGCATCGCGCGCGAACGCCTGGCCAACCCTACGCGGGACCCCCCGTCCTACCTGCAAGAAAACACCGCAACGTCGACGTTTTTCTTGCCAACATGTATTTCCTCCTCGTCGGCGCTGCGAATCGCGTAGCGGGAATGGGACGAGGTGCGCATCGCGCGGGGGCGCCTGCTCGTCAACATGGACTTTCTTGTCGTCGACGATGCAGCCCGTCGGGTTGACGTGCTGGGCAGGCAGCGAGTCAGAATGCCTTCAGCAAGTGAGGAGCTGGGCGCGGCATACATCGCGCGCGGTCTGGTTTCTCGTCGACGTTGCTCAATACGCGGCGGGAATATGACGCAGCTCGTGCCGCGAGCAGAACGTCTATCCGCCCACGATATAAGATGAGCGACAGGCGTCGGACGCGACGCACCTGCTCCTTATGTAGTGGGAGGGCGGGTGGGAGTGGACGGAGCCCTCTGGCTCGTTCGAACTGGCTAGACTGACCTCTACCTAATCCCCGAATCGAACCCCCAATTCAAACTGTAATCCCCACCCTAACCCCGACCCCAAGCCCGAATCCTAAACCTTTACCCCTACCCAAACCCCAACCCTCACCCTTGATCCGAACCCTGACCCCTGCCCTAACCCTAACCCCATACCCCAAACCCGAACCCTACTCCTTACACAGAACCCCAAATACCCCTGACCCTGACCCTAAAACTTAATCCTAACAACTAACCGTAGTCTAACCCATAACCCTGGCCCTAATCCCTAACCCTTCTTCCAAGCCCGAATCCAGCCCCCTAAACCCTAACCCTAACCCCCAGCCCTGCCTTAACCCCTACCCTAACCCCTAACATTAATCACTGTCCCCTCGGCGACTGGGAGCCAGTGCGGGCATCCCCTCACCATCGGAACTAAAAAAAACATGCAAACACACACTCTGCCTCCAAATCCGGAGCATGCGCAGCGAATCCGATGCGGCCTCCCCCCGCCATCCGTGTCGAAAATACAATAAAGAGTACACTTGGCGGCGGCGGCCGCGGCGGGGGCAGCGGCTGCGGCGACTGCGGCGGTGGCGGCGGCGGCGGCGGCGGCGGCGGCGAGGGCGGAGGCGGCGGCGGCGGTGGCGGCGGCGGCGGTGGTGGCGGCGGCGGCGGCGGCGGCAACGGTGGCGGCGGTTTCAGCGGCCAGCGGCTGCGGCGGCGGCGGTTCGGCAGCGGGGGCGACGGCGGCGGCGGCGGCGGCGATGGTGGGCGGGCGGCGCGACGGCGGTGGCGGCGGACGGCGGCGGCGGCGGCGGGCGGCGGCGGCGGCGCGCGGCGGCGGCGGCGGGCGGCGGTGGCGGGCGGCGGTGGCGGCGGCGGCGCGGAGGCGGCGGCGGCGGGGGGCGGCGGCGGCGGCGGAGGCGGCGGACTCGCCCCAAGTAATTCCCCATCCAAAAACGACTGCTAAAGATGCTGCGGCTCGGGTGTTACGTATGTGTTGAGGGGGCGGGTGGAAATGAACGACACGGCTTGCGGGCGAGGAGGAAGTCTTGACCCGAACCCATACCCTAAACCGTAACCCGAACCGAACCCTTAACCCCTACACCCACCCCATCACCCCGACTGTAACCGTTACCCCCCGGTCGGTTATGCCCTAAGCCTAACTAACCCCTTAATATCTACCCGACCCCCTAACCGTAACCATCATCCCTAATATGAACCGTAAGCCCTGACCCTATACCCTCAACCCTACCCTGACACGCACCCTAACCCTAGTCTCTACCCGAACCCCCACCCGAACCCTTACCCCAAACCCGAATCCGGACCGAACCCCTAATCCGAACCCTGACCCTATCCCTTTCCGAACCTCAACCCTAAAGCTTAGCCCCCAAACCCCCAATCCTGACACGAACCCCTACTCTTAAGCCTAAGCCCCAACTCTAACTGTTAACCCCAACCCCACTCCTACCCCAACCGTAAACCCGACCCTTAAGCCCTACCGTAACCCTTAACCCTAACCCTTACCCAGACCCTAACACCGACCCTCAATTCCGACCCCAAGGCCCTACCCAAACCCGAACCCCGATCTCCACTTCTTCTGATTAAACACCCCCAAACCCCCACCGTCAAAAAACATGCAAGCTCAATTTCTTTGTCGCCAACATGGCGTCGAGTTGCAAAAAGTGTAGCAGCAAAAGGGCGGAATGAACATCGCTTGGGTAACCGTAAGCGGGTGGTCGCGTCCTACCGATCAAAAGCAATACAAACTCAATATCGTTTCTCGTCAACATTGACTTTTTTGTCGTCGACGCTGCGAAAAAAATGTAGCACTGATGGTGCGGAACGGACATCGTTTGGGTAACCCTGAACGGGTGGTCGCGTCGTACCGATCAAGGAACAATGCGAAATCAACGTTTTCCTCGACAGCGAAGACTTTCTTGTCGTCAGCGCTGTGAAATGTTTAGCAGGAGCGGGAAGCGGCGCACGTCGCGCGCGGTGGCCTGGCCAACCATGCGAGGGACCCCCCGTCCTACCTGCCACAGAACAGAGCAACGTCCACGCTTTTCTTGCCAACGTGTGTTTCCTCCTCGTCGGCGCTGCGAATCGCGTAGCGGGAATGGGACGCCCCGCGAAATACCAAGAGGCATCCCCCTCTTCCTCCTCAGTTTCTCCGTCCCTCCTTTTCTCCCTCCCCTCGTCCTCGTCCTCCTCCTCCTCCTCCTCCTCCCCCTCCCCCATGCGCGGCAGGAGCGAAACGATTGGCGGTGCAACACGCGTGGCTGGAATGAGACGCGGCGCACTTCGCGCGCTGGACCTGTTGTCGCCGACGATGCAACATGAGAGGCCGGAGCGGGGCGCGGCGTACATCGCGCGCGGTTTTGTTTCTCGTCGACGTTGCTCAACACGCGGCAAGAATAGGACGCAGCTCATGTCGCGCGCTGAACGTCTAGCCGCCCACGATATAAGATGAACGACAGGCGTCGGACGCGACGCACTTGCTCCTTATGTTGTGGGAGGGCGGGTGGGAGTGGACGGAGCCCTCTGGCTCGTTCGAGCTGGCTAACTTGACCCGAACCCTAGCCCCTGACCCCGAACCCTAGCCCATAACCCTTAAGCCGCATCCCGGACTCTAACCCTAAGAACCAACCGTAACCCCTAAACCCAACCCTAACTAACCCTCTTCACCCGAAACCCTGACCCCAACCCGTAATCCCAACCCTAACTCCGACCCGCACCCTAACCCCTACCCTTGACCAGTACCCTAAACCTTAAACCCAGACCTTACCCCAACCCTAAGTCCTTAGTTCTTATGATTAAACACCCCCAAGCCCCCGCCTGGCGGGCCGATAACATCCCCACCGTCCTAACTGTAAGACATCCATACAAACTCACACTGTTTCTCGCCAGCGTGTCGTCGAGTTGCAAACAGGGTAGCAAGAAACGGACGGAATGAACATCGCATGGGTAACCCTAAGCGGGAGGTCGCGTCTTACCTATCAGAAAAGCAATACACAGTCAACGTTTTTCTCGACGCTGCGAAAATATAGGATAACATTGACTTTCTTGTCGCCGACGCTCCGAATAATGTATCAGGCGCGGGACGCGGCGCACATCGCGCGCGGACGCCTGACCAACCCTACGCGAACCCCCCCGTCCTACCTGCCCAAAAACAGAGCAACATCGACGTTTTTCTTGCCAACATGTATTTCCTCCTCGTCGGCGCTGCGAATCGCGCAGCGGTGACGGGACGCGGCGCGCATCGCGCGGGGACGCCTGCTCGTCAACATGGACTTTCTTGTCGTCGACGCTGCGGCTCGTCGGGTTGACGTGCTGGGCAGGCAGCAAGTCAGAATGCCTCCAGCAAGTGCGGTTCGCCGCCGGCGCGCCCGTTGTCGTGTCCACGTAAAAGAGAAACCTCTCTCCGTCCCCTCCTCCTCCTCCTCCTCCTCGTCCTCCCCCTCCTCCGTGCGCGGCAGGAGCAAAACAATTGGCTGTGTCACGCGCGTGGCTGGAATGAGACGCGGCGCACTTCGCGCGCTGGACCTGTTGTCGCCGATGATGCAAATGAGAGGCCGGAGCGGGGCGCGGCGTACATCGCGCGCGGTCTTGTTTCTCGTCCTCGTTGCTCAATACGCGGCAAGAGTGGGACGCAGCTCATGTCGCGCGCTGAACGTCTAGCCGCCCGCGATATAAGATGAGCGACAGCCGTCGGACGCGACGCACTTGCTTCTTATGTTGCGGGAGGGCGGGTGGGAGTGGACGGAACCCTCTGGCTCGTTCGAGCTGGCTAACTGGATCCGAACCCTAACCCCTAACCCCTAGCCCCGAACCCTAGCCCCCCACCCCTAAGCCGCATCCCTGACTCTAACCCTAAGAAGCAACCCTAACCCCTAAACCCGACCCTAACCTTCTTCACCCGAACCCCTGACCCCAACCCGTAACCCGAACCCGAACCCCTACCCTTAACCAGTACCGTAACCCTTAACCCTAGCCCTTACCCCGGCCCTAAGTCCTTAGTCCGTATGACTAAACACCCCCAAGCCCCACCTAGCGGGCCGATAGCACCCCCACCGTCCTAACTGTAAGACAGCAGTACAAACTCACATATATTCTCGGCAACATGTCGTCGAGTTGCGAACAGGGTAGCAGGAAACGGACGGAATGAACATCGCATGGGTAACCCTAAGCGGGAGGTCGCGTCCTACCTATCAGAAAAAACAAAAAAACAGTCAACGTGTTTCTCGACAACGTGGACTTTATGGTGGTCGACGCTGCGAAAAATATATGACAACGTTGACTGGTTTGTCGTCGACGCTGCGAATCATGTATCAGGTACGGGACGCGGCGCACATCTCGCGCAGACGCCTGGCCAACCGTACTCGGGACCCCCCGTCCTACCTGCCGAAAAACAACGCAACGTCGACGTTTTCATTGCCAACATGTGCTTTCTCCTGGTCGGCGCTGCGACTCGCGTAGCGGGAATGGGACGCCCCACGAGCTCCCAAGAGGCATTCCCCTCTTCCTCCTCAATTTCTCTCTCCCTCCCTCTCTCCCCCTCCTCCTCCTCATCCTCCCCCTCCCCCCCTCCCCCATGCGCGGCAAAGGCGAAACGAATGGCGGTGCAACACGCGTGGCTGGAATGAGACGCGGCGCACTTCGCGCGCTGGACATTTTGCCGCCGACGATGCAACATGAGAGGCCGGAGCGGGGCGCGGCGTACATCGCGCGCGGTCTTGTTTCTCGTCCTCGTTGCTCAATACGCGGCAAAAATAGGACGCAGTTCGTGTCGCGCGCTGAACGTCTAGCCGCCCGCGATATAAGATGAGCGACGGGCGTCGGACGCGACGCACTTGCTTCTTATGTTGTGGGAGGGCGGGTGGGAGTGGACGGAGCCCTCTGGCTCGTTCAAGCTGGCTAACTTGACCCTAGACCAATACCCTAACCCTAACCCCTAACCCAACCTGACCCCTACCACAACCCTGACCCCTAACCCCGAATAACCTAACCCTAACCCTAACCCCTACCCTAAACCCGAACCCTACTACTTACGCCTACCCATAGCCCCCCCTTGCTTGGCCGAGGGTCCGAAAATGTCCCCCCCCCTTCAAGGGAGGGGGGGGTCTGGGAGCACCCCCCCTCGTTTTCAATTACAAAGAGATCCACTGGCGCTCTTTCGCAATAGAAAACAACAACATGCACTTATTCACACACAAACGTTGACACGCTGGCACGATGACAACCGCACAAATGTTCCTCCAGCGCCGCAGTGGAAGCAACGGCGGGTCAAAGTGCCGCGGGCTCCACGAACTGCTGATTAAGTCGGCCACCCTTGTGCGACAGCCCCACTCAGGATTCCCCTCCTTGCGCACGCCTGTGGTTCAAAATGTTACGTACATGTGTATTTGCATGCGCACTAGAAACACGCGATGTCGTTGTCAGCAGACCTGCGCTACACCACGAACCCCAAGATAACAAAGGAGGAATCCCCCAAACTTTCTGATGGACAACTTCGCGTTCTGTGGGCGGTCGCGGAACCGTGCGAGATCGACGCGCGACGCGCCCGAAGACTCCGGAAATTTCCCAGATTACGCGAATGACGCGACTGCCACGGTGACCAATGAGGGCACCAGACGCTCTGGGCCTTCTGTGGCCCTTCTGTGGCCCTTCGGTGGCCAATGACGTGGTTAGCCCTTCTGTGGCCTCCCGTGACAGAATTCGGGACACACCCTGGAACCCTTCGGGGCCTTCGGGGGTCGTCGTCGTCCTCCTCGTCGTCCTCGACACCTCTCTTCCTCCTCGAGCTCACGCGGTGTGATTTGGAACATCGACAGAACATCTTCCGGGACATCAGCGCGGATATTCCTGGAGAGGCTTCTGGAATCATCGCTTGTATGCTCCTAGAAAACCTCTGGGCGCATGCTGCCATCCGTCTCACGCGTGTCCAAGACGGCATGGGAGGACTCGAAGGCCCCAATGCAGCTCCAGGAGCGCCCAAGAGACACAACAAAACATCTCAAAGTTAGCACAAGCCCGCCATTTGTAAGGCAGCAAGTAGTGTTAACTTTGTGTTGAACTTCGAGGCGTCTTCGAGGCCTCCCAGGCCGTCCTCGGAACATCGGGCGGGCTTCGGGAGAGGTCCAAGAGGGTTGAACTTGTGTAACAAACTTGACACAAAACGCTGCCTCGTCAGGGACGGTGTTGCCTTAAACTTGTAAAACAACATGTGGGCACTCTTGGGATTCTTCTGAGACCCCCACAGGCTCCCAGGAGAGCTCTCCAAGATGAGCTGCAGGGGCTCGAAGGGGGCCCGAAGAAACTCTGAGAACGCCCCAGAGGACCCAACAGTTTAGCAAGAACTTGACAGAACGCCGCTCCTGACGAGGCTGCGGTGTGTGAAATGTCTGCTGAATTTGGGACCCCCCTGGGGCTCTGCTGGCAATCCAAAGGCCTCCAAAATAGCTCTAAAGGACGGCCTGGGAGGACCCGAAAGGGCGGCAAGGAAGCTCCAAGAGCGACCCGAGAAAACCAACAATGACGACGACCGGCGGCGGTGACGACCACGACGACGACGACGACGACGACGACGACGACGACGTCATGAAATCTGCGTTCAAAACGTCTGCGAAAGACTCATTAGAGACGCCCTCCCGTCCAAACCCGAATGGAGCACAACAGCTCACCCGCGCGTCACCAAATTAGATCCTCGAACGATCGACGACGACGACGCACGCGGATCCTGAGGGAACCGAGCCCTGGATACCGTGGCTTTCCCATGTGTCGGGAGCGGCCAAGAGGGGGGTGTCCAAGAGGGGGGGGCGCAAATCATGACCGGCGGCATGTGCGCGGCCCAGCGGGGGGGCCTGGGACGTAATAAATCAAGAAGAGGCGCCCTGAGATCTGGGGAGATATCATGGCCCCCGCCATGATATCCACCCCCCCCTAGTCATCACCCCCCTCTTTGCCGCCCCCGAATGTTCCTTCCGAATCGTTTTCCGACAGGCCCCGGGCCCGTGGAGGGCCCCGTGGAGCTCCAAAACTCGCAGCGCGTGCGGGCGGACCCGGGGGGGGTGGCCCGCCTCCTCAGCAGGCGGCGGGGCGTCTCAGTGGCCCTCCGGCCGTCTCAGAAGCCGCCTCTGTCTTCGTTGAGCAGGGACGGACCGTCCCGGCACTCCTAATAGGCCTAATTATAGCACGACATGCTCGTCGAACCCGAAGATGTTCCAAGCACAAAAACACGCTGCTCTGCGGGGAGGGCCCAGAAAGAACGCCTCGGAGGCCCGAGGCCTTCCCAGCCTTCCGGGAGGGCCCGCCTCCTCGGCCTTCCCCCCCCTTGGGGCCCTGGGCTCGCCGCCGACCAAGCACGGCACGACACCGCTGGCGCCCCCGCGGAGCTCTCGACCCGCTCCCCATGGACCGGCCGTTTTGGGGAGACTCTCCATGGGGGGGGAATCCCATGGGGGGGCAGGACCCTGACCTTCCAGGAGGGCTAAAAAATAGCACCCGACTTAAAGACCTATCCCAAAGCTATTCTACGTCTTGGTTTTAGGCTTTTTCGCTCGGCTTTTTAGGTTTTTAGGTCTCCAGTGCTAAAAAATAGCTCTCTGGAAGGTCAGGGGAGGGGATCCCCCCCATGGGATCTTCTCCTGCCCCCCGATGGGATCCCCAGGGGATCCTGTGGGATCCCCCCCCTGGGATCCTATCCCCCCATGGGATCCCCCCCCATGAAGAGTCTCCCGACTTTTCCCGTCCCGAGCTCGAGAGGAGACACCGGCCCTGGGCCGCGGCTCTTCACCACCCGGTCCCTCTGTGAAGAGGTCCTGCAGGGCAGGGCGAGGCCCCTCCGGAGCCGACCACCACGGACCACCCCCGAACCGAGCCTGTGAATAGGCCCGCCCCGTGGCGACGACCGACGACCGACGGCGCCTCCGGGCTGGCCTCGGACGGCGCGTCGGGCGCCTCGGGCGCCACTGGCACAGGCAGCGCCGAGCACGGGCGGTGTGCCGGGGGCTCTGGCGGCAGCTCCGCCTCGCCCTCCCGGACGTCTGGGGCGACGCAGCATGCGAACACGCGTCGCCGGCGAGTCCGGGGGGGGCGGGGGGCGAGAAGGGACAGAAGAAGCCAGGACGAGGATCACATCGAGAACTCTCTGAGATTCGGCGGCTCTGGAAGACGTCTCGGGCGCCCGTGCCCTCTCAGAGCGTTCCGGAACGCTCTGGAACGACGTATCCTCGTCCTGGCCCCGTCCGAGGAGGTGAGAGGGGAAGGCCAGAAGTGGAGGCGTTGCTCGGGGTGTGTTGTCCTCGTTCGCTCTCCCCGCCGCGCCGCGTGCTTCCAGGATCAAGGTAAGGCCATCGGACCAGACGATGAAAGCACGTGGATGCAGTTTGTTGTCAGCATCGAGGCGAAGCGGCGGGGAGAGAACGAACAAGAGGACCCACGTCCTGGGGAAGACCGAGGATGGGACACCGTACCCCGCACAACGCCTCCACTTCTGGCCTGCCCCCAGCGCACCTCCCCCCCCTTGCCATCGCTCGGACGTCCATCTCCCGTGCATTTTTTTCGGTTTCGTGCGTGCTTCTTTTGCTCGACGGTCCAGGATGGTCCTCGATGGCTCTCGCCGAGGAAAAAAAGTCCACACGTCCGAGCGATGCCAGGCCCCTCGGGCTCGCCGTCGTCTGCAGGCGGCGGCGGGGGGAGGGGGGGGGGGGAAGGCGGCCCGCGGCGCGTCGTGGGTGGGGCGCGGGCGGTGCCGAGACGGCTGCGGGAGGCGCGGGCGAACGCAAGGAGGAATGTTTTTGTGCCTGGCTCCGTCCGCACACACGTACAGTCGGGGCGTTGACCTAAGGAGCCCAAAACAAGGAACGAGGCCCCTTTTTTTCATAAGTGAAGCTTCGATTTCCGATCGAAAGCAGGAGGAACAACCTGAGGCAAGCTTCGAAACACTGAAGGAACGCGGAGCCCCTCCCCAACGAAAAGGGTTCCTTCTTCAGGGCCCCGGCTGTACCTTCAGGGACTGCGACGCCCTGCTGCGCCTGCACGCCGCCGGCACTCGCGCACACGGGCGTCGCGTCCTGAGCGTGGCTCTCCCGCCCTGCAGGCCTCCCCCCCCCCTCCCGGGCCCTCCCTCCCGCCTCGCGCTCTCTCGCCCCCGGTTCCCAATTCGGTTCCACTGCAGCCCAGTGCAAGCTTGACCGCGACGGGCCCGCTCCGAAGCCGCCGACTACCAGACATTAGTTCCGTTGTGCTCTTCCTTCTCTCCCGCGGCCCGGGGCGTAGAAGGGAAGGGCAGAGAGAGGGAGTAGACAGGTCGCCAAGCGAGGTGCGCTCGTGTTATATCTGACATCATACCCCATCCCACCCATCCCGTCTCATGGCGGTGATTCGTGTTCCAATCATCCTGTGTTGGGTACTCGTTCTGAATGAGCAACGCCCCGCGTCTCCTCTCCTCTCTTCCCTCCCTGCCTCTGCTCTCCGCATGTCTCTGTTTCGGCACACCACTCACACGTTTCGTTGCCATGTAGGAGCTCCACAGCAAGCCCAATTTACAGAATCCGTATGCCTGACCACGCCCATCCTGTCATACCCCTCACACGCTGCTTGGCCTCGTAGGGGGCTCCACCGAAGGCCCAAATAGCTGGATTCGCATGCCTGACCACGCCCATTCTGACACACACACACACACATACGCACCTCGCACGCTTCGTGACCCCCCCTAGGAGCTGCACAGGGGGCCCAAATGGCAGGGCTCCGTTGCCTGCGCACCTCTCTCACGCTTCGTGGCTCCATTGGCGGTCCGCAGAAAGCCACGATTGCAGGATGCGTTTGCCTGGCCACTCCCATTCTTGCAGAACCCTCCTACGTTTCGTGGCCCCAAGCCTAGAACTCACTCGGAACTTTCCGGGAAGGCTCCACCGCAACCCGCAGTGGTAGGATTCGTATGTCTGACCACGCCCATCCTGACACACCCCTCACATGTGTCGTAGCATCATGAGGAAAAGTGAACGGCACGGCTCGCGTGCCCGACCACGCCGATTCGAGCTCAACCCTCACAAACTTTTTGGCTTCATAGGGATCGCTTTGGACATGCTTTGAGTAAGACGTACGTCGCCTTTGCGATGATTGGATCCATTGCCTTCTCTACCTTCGCAGACGCATTTCTGTCGAGAGTGGCACGTGGTGACGAGATTTGATGGCAACATGGTTTGCGCATCGCCCCCAAGAATGAACATCTCGCTTGCGACCTGTGAGTGCGTGTGCATCCAATTTCCAATGACCCGTACTGCGAATGGAAACTCAAAAACACGCCATGCGACACTGCCAAATTCCCTGTTCAAAATGGGAATATACGTAGCGCCGCCTGAAATAACGCCGAAATCCCACACATACATGGCCCGGCGACCGTCGGGAATCGTGCCTGCCACAACTACATCTTTGCCTGCGGGCGTCGTGACCGTGAATGTTCGTCCGAACTCAAAGAACACATTTCTGTCAACCCAAACTCTGACGATGTTGTACAATCCTCTTGCAACGTTGTAAAATCAATGTGTCTTGGTAAACGCGTGGGTGCGTGGCAATGTCAAAAAAGCACACGCGTTGGTATCTGTTTCGTTGCTTACGCAATGTGTGAAATCCGCATGCCGGAAACTTGTCTTTGACGTCGCTGGCCCATAGTACGCTGCTTGGAAGATCTCCAGCGCCCCTGCTTGCACGAACTGGCATGATGTGTGTGCAGTGGTGGGTATGGTATAGCCGCGCCTTCCCCGTCGTACACCGCATCTACGGTTTCAATGATCGCCGTATCTCCAGCAGGGGAAGCTGGCACCACTTTGAATTGGTAGTCTGCCCAAAAAAATGCTTGTAGCCGCGGTTATAGTGACTGTTCTGCGTGGCCATAAGGGGACCGAGGCGAGTAATGTACGTTTGTGTCGACGTGCCGTCTGCGCCAATAGTTCGAGGCAAAATGCGCACATGAACGGGCCATCCCAGAATTTCATAACCACCACCATGGTTATCTCTTTGTTTGGGATATATGAACGGCTTTCCTGCGCGGCTCGTGCTATACTTCGCGTTATGATCTGCAACACTGCCAGTCAACACCCATTTGCAAAAAGCCCGCGCCTTCATGCATTTTGGATACAGTTCGGGGGCCCAGTAAGACCACTCTCGCAGCTCCCACGCGCCTACGTCATGCGGTTTCGCCCGCAGCCAGGTCGGTACACCAGACCACCATAAGGTCCTTCCAGAACTTTCACTTCGAATGTTCAACAATGTGGGGGTGATCCCAGCTGACTAGCTACTTCCATCCATGTCGATTTGGCAAGGCCTTCAAACCGCTAAAGCGTCCGTCCTAGAACATGTCTGTTGCCGTAGTGGGAACCTGTGGGGTCGTTTTGGGCGCGGCGTTGAAATTACAATGCGGCAGTCGGTTTGGCGCAGATTTTCCTGTGGCGACAACGGCGCTCCAAAACGCTGGATCGGCGCATCATCTCATAGTCACCGATCATTCACTCCTGGCTGCGAGCGCGCCTAAATCTTTAGATCATCTCCGCGCCGCCGTTCACTCACCGATTGCGTCTTTGCCCCCATCCCCGGTTGAATTCACTGTCGTTGTGGCCGTGCGCCCTACCGTGGCGATGTCCCCAGATCCCAAGGCGGCGTCTAGTTAAAGACGAATTTTGTAAAAAAAACGAAAATGCATTAAAGGCGAGGACAGCTCGAGCCCAAAAACAATGTGTCTAGCAATTTGTGTGATGCAACATACTCGGTGCAATCCGCCGACCCCTTGGGGTCAAGGCGTGTGATATGCTTCCTCCTCCCCGAACCCCTCCCCCGGGGTCCCGGTCCGGCCAGTTTGGAGAGGTGGGGGGGGGGGGGGGGCAAATGTGTCGGCCGCACACTTGGAGCCTCATGAGGCCCCAAAACGGGCCTGAAAGGTTCAAACGGGTCCCGGAACGGTCCAAGAGAGCTACGAGTCGATGAAAGATCGTTCCAGAACGCCGAAGATTGCCTCCAGACGGCCCCATCAGTCCCCAAGACTCTTGAAATAATACTGCGAGGCGCCCCGCGAAGGCCCTCCCGAAGCAAAACTCGTCCCATTCCGGAGGAGAACGTACATTTTCAGCACTCTCGCCTTTTGGGCTTCCACGCTGCCCACAACGGCCCCAGAAGCCTTCAAGATCGACCCTCCGCAGCCCAAGAGGCTCCCGAAAAGGCTCCACGACGGCTTCCAGGCGATCCACGAGGGCTCGAGAAACCATAGCAACGGCCCAGGAGAGCCGCAGGACGGTCCCAAGAGGGCTCCCAAAAGGGTCAAACAGGGTCCCCAAAGGCCTTCTGGACGGCCCACGCGGGGGACGATTCGGTCCAAACGCCCAAGATTGCCTCCAGACGGCTCCATAGGCCCCCAACACGTTCGAAGACGCGTCCACGAGGCGCTCCAAGAGGGCTTCCAAAAGCGAGAATCTGCCCATTCCCTGGGGAAAACATACATTTTTAGTACATTCGCCTCTTGGGCTTCCACGAGGCCTACAACGGCCAAGTGCACCTCCAAGTTCGACCCCCAACACCCCAAGAGGCTATCAAAAAGGCTCCACGACGGCTTCCAGGCGCACCGCGAAGATTTCAGAAACCACAGCAACGGCCCAGGACAGTAGCAGGACAGCCCCACGGAAGCCCCACAACGGGTTAACAGGGTCCCCAAAGGCCCTCTGGACGGCACACGAGGGAGACGATTCGGTCCCAACCGCCCCAGCTTGCCTGCAGACGATTCCCCGTAGGGCCCCGAGATGTTTTAAAAAGCTACTACGAGGCGTCCCACGAAGGCCTCCAAAAGCAAAGTTCGGCCCATTCCCTTGGGAAAACATACATTTTCAGCACATTCGCCTTTTGGGCTTCCACGAGGCCTTCAACGGCCCAAGAAGCCTCCAATATCGACCCTCCGCAGCCCACGAAGTTTT